AGAAACGTGACCTATTTTGATCATCTATATTTAAGGTTGCATCCATCTTCTAAATCTATCTATCTGCATTAATAATATCGTCAAAGGATATCGCCTATATTGATTAAGCCATCTTTTTCCCATCACAAGAATTGACGCATATATGAATGCAAATATGTACAGGCCAAAACGGAGGATACAATTAGCAGATTACTAAGGTACAGATGGCCGAGTGGCGCATATGTTTAGACTAGAAAAAGGACTGGCTTCTGTTGATCTTAAGTATGACTTCAGAGAGACAGGATTAAAAATAATTCACTTTTGCAGTTAATGAAGGTAATAGAAGAATAAATAAATATGAAAAAATTGAGGAAAAAATCAATGCAATTTGCTAATAACTTTGCCATTACTTACAACTGCTTTGTTTTTCTAAATGTTAGTATACTTTTGTATAATTTACATATTTAAAAAATATTTTTAATTTAATATTCGTAAAAATTGCACAATTAATATTCAATATATTAAAATTACTAATATATATTAAGAATAGGTGAAATAATACCATTAAAAATTTAATCTTTTGGAAAAATAGGATATATTTTGCATGCGAAAAATGCTAAGAATACTAAATATTTCAATTACAATTACTAAATATTACAACAAAGAATTACTAAATATACTAAAAAGGTTTGTTTTAATAAAGCAGCTAAATTTATTGACATCCCATATATTTAGGAATAATATACTAGAAGACAAATAAAAAATGAAATATGAATCCAATAAGTGAATAAACTTACTCTTATTATTTGAGATCAGTGGTTTGAGATGGTTGATTACACTATTCGAATCGGCTTGGATTAATGCAACCTCAGCCCGTATCTGAATATCAAAATGAAATATCGGGCATCAAATAATTGAATTTTTAAAACAAATTTAAAAGCGTAATTCAAACTCTAAGTGATAATTAATGAGTTTTTTACAATTTGTTTTATTAAAAAAAATAGTTAAAAAATAATTAAAGAAAAAATAATTCGATCGCAAATTCAGAAAGTTGATTTCTATAATATGGGCTAACAGATGTTTTTAATTTGAAAAGTAAATCCATATTTTTCATTTGTAAATCTCATTTATAAATCCATATTTGCGAAATTCCTGGACAAACTTGCCATCTGCATTAATTCAAAGCGTGGATAATCGACAATATAGAAAATCTAAGCTAAAGAAGAAAGCTTTAGCGCTGCACACCTAGCGCACCTTTCAATCTACGGACCTCCACTGTACCTTTTTTCAACACTTCGTTCCGCATTTGAACAGAAAAGTTACCAATGCAGGCAAATTAAGTATCGCACAGTGAATGAAAAAAAGCCATTAAAAAGAATCCCAGTAAATGAAAAATGCTAAAACAATGTTTCAGAAATACAAACCGAATCGACCAATTCATTTAAATTTACTTTAACGAGTGCTTCACGTAGCGACTGATAGGCATCTGCAGTTTGCATCCCTAAAACACGAATATGTATAATAAAATTTGATGTTGAAAATCTAAAACCAAGAGCAGTCTAAGAAAGATAAAATAGACTCCGCACTTCTCCCAACAGCGTTAGCCATTTCAGCTTTCAGCTTTGGTTGGCTCTCCAAGGACGGAGCTGCTTTGCCCGTCGGCTTCCCCTACGATTTGGGCTTCGAAGGCTCTTCTCTCCTCATCATATTCTATTCAGACAAAACTTCTTCCAACAGCGTTAGCCACATTTCAGCTTTGATTGGCTCTCTAAGGACGGAGCTGCTTTGCCCGTCGGCTTCCCCTACCGATTTGGGCTTCTTTTCTCTACACTCTCTCATAAAGTAACGCTATATCCTCATAAATAAATGGTAAAGAAAAAACGCAAATAAATTTTAGCCCAATTTTTTGGGAATGTTCTTTAGAAATTCTAAAATCCAAAAATTCAAAAAAGATACGATTTGATAAAATGCAAATTCCATTTTGTCGCTTCGTTTCCCGCTAATTTTAAATTTAAAAAGTAGCGAAACCAAAAGAATTTTTGAGTGAATTTCACCGAATTGCCACCCCTCACTAATCTTTTAAAATGTTCCGATAATGAATGAAGCTTGAAACGTCATTGCAATAATAGTTTATTGAATATTTTGTGGGAATTGTGAATTATGAATTTTAATTTTGTGCTGCTAAAGTTCTAAAAATTCCTAAAACGATTGCCAAGTGCGGTTTTTAAAAATTGTGGCCATATTAAGTTTGAGATTTTTTGTTGGCCGTGTATGGGCATTGCGCAAGTATTTTTTGAGGGTTCATTATGTACTGTTTAACATTGTTCATTGGTGAGCAGAGATTCTTAACCGGTTGATAGCCCTCTCATGGAAGGGATTTTAGGATTTCGGGAGAAGAGTGGGCAAAGGCTTTTCAAGAACCAAGGCCATACACATGGGTAACCAACCATTCCAGTTGACAGACGGAGAAGACAGACGAAAAAAGGTTGTCGCTTAGATTAAAGGGTGATTAGGGTGGTTAAGGGGTATGCTGGGATTATTTTGCGCGAACAGCAGTGCCTGCTTAAATTATTAGAATATCTTTCATGTACTGTAGTCTTCTTGAGAATAAATCGAACTTTTAGCTTAAATTGTATTACGTTGAATTACTTTTTGGTAAAATAAAAGTGGAACGATATATGGATGAAAATACTTTATCAGCACTTGATCATCATTTCTCCCAGTTCAGTTTTATTAAAGGGTAATTTTTTTTTCTTCCTATTTATTTTATTTTATTCATTTTTCGAGCGAAAAGTTTGGACTCTGTCTTCGGACTCTGTGAATAATCTCATCAAAAGGTCCGTATGATGGTGGATTCCCATTTCTGTTTTGCTGTCAAGTGATTTCCTAGCAAAAATACTTTTATTTCATTTAATTGGTTTTAAATCTTTCATGTTCTTTTAAGTTTTTTTGCCTTTTTCAAAAAATCTTTGGTAATTTTTTCCAACACCTCATTTGCGGGATAATTAAGTTATCATCCAAGCATCTTCAGTGTCTTATTGGTTTTCAAGCGTATGGTTCGACGAATTTATCAGTTACATCAGGGATAAAAATGGCGCTTCGTGGTTAAATTTGGCCTCCTTCCATCATATGACGCGGCCTTAATATTTTTAACCGGCACGCCATTGCCGTTCCTTACCATTTCACTGTTCTTTCCCAGAGTTATAGTTGAGTTATAGTAGAGTTTATGAAGAAGGCGGAATAGTTTCCTATTGTCGCCTAATCGAGCCGCCATCTCCATTCTTGAGGCCATGTCACTCCAATAGTGATTTTTGTTCCGCCGTGTTGTTTTCGTTGCAAATCTTCGAAGCATCCGGTAGTCAAGATCACTCGACAGCCATGCTTTGGCAGTTTTTCAGGCAGTTGGATAGTTGCTTCCAGTACCTAATTAGCTCATTTCCTAATAGTATGCCCTAATAGTATGTCCTAGCGTGGCAGTGACTGTCTTTCTTTTGGGACCAGTATTCTCTGCCTTTCTTGAACAGTCATTGATATTTATACCATTGAGATGCTTTAATTAGATTTAAAATGCGCTTACTCTTTCCATTTTTTAGTTTGAGATAGTTGAAGGACCTTGAGGAATTCTGTTTGTTGCGAGTTGTCATTTTTATGCTGATATTAATCATAATATGGTCAGATCCATGAAGATTAGAAGTTTTAGCACCCCGGTAGGAACGGCTATTTAGTACTCCCTCAATGGCGACTGACAAAGATATAATCAATCTGGTTGAAGTGTTGGTTACCCGGGAAGTTCCACTTGGCTAGATGTTTTCTACGATGCCGGAAGCAAGATTAGTAATAAAAAGTTCATGCTCTTCGGCATAGCAGAGAAGGCATTCCCCACTGGCGCACCAGTCTCCAATGCGATATTTGCCAATTGTTGAAATGATATTGCAGCACTTCCATCTAATCTAATGTATCTAATGTATCGCCGATGCAACTATATTTTCTCTTTTATTTAATCTTACTATCATTCGCCATTCTTGGATTTTCTTTAACAACAAATATGGTATGAAATGAAGATGGAAGTGCCAAAAATTTAGTTTATTTATAAGTACCTTTTCAGTTATACCATTTCTGCATCAGATTTTGACCAATATAAAAATTTAATCGGCAATAATTTGAATAATTATTGTTATCTTAAACGTTGGTACAATCATATATCAACATATTCATCCAAAGAATCGTTGAAGTATGCTTTAAATTTTTTTTAAGATTATTTTATCACCCTACTTAAAATTATCTTATCATCCATTGCTAACAATTTTTGTCAGTTTTTCACAAAACTTAATAAAAAGTAAGAAGCTGTAAAAAATAAGCTGTATATTTATACTACATTTACTTAGTAAAATACTTTTAGTAATGTTAACTTCTAATTAAATTTTATCTTGATTTTGTGTTGGTTTTCCATATTTTTTTAGCTTCTGTGCGAATTTTATTCCAAAATCAAATTTCTTTCTGAAAGAGACTAAAAAATTGGCAGAAAACATTAAGAAAGATGTGAATGAATGCAACTTGCCACAGTTTTTATTAAATTATCTTCAAGAATATGAAAATTTTAATACCTATGACTTGGCGCAGTTTCTTGATATTGATCACCAGCGAATTATTGGTGCCATAAGAAGTTTGCTGGTGCATGACGATGTAAATTTTTTAAATTATTCAATTATTATTATAATTAATAATTGGATGACCAATTAATTGTTGTAGAAAATATTGTTGTTGTGGGACAATGTCATGCAAGTGCAAATTTCTATTCAATAAATCAGATATATTTTTTGAAATATCTGTGTGATTAACCTTTTTTTAGAATTGAATTCAAATTTAATTCGAATACTATTTCATTTTTAAATATATGCTATTTGTTTTAAACTTGTTTTTCTCTTATGTGTATATTGAATTCAGATCATTCATTTCTTAGAAAAAACGAATAGTACCTTGTTTTTCAGTTAATTGAAACAAACGAATATATTTTGAAAAAAATGGGGTTATCTACTGAAGGAAAAGAGATTATGGAAAATGGTTCTCATGAAGCCAATGTGTATTATTTGCTTGGTGAGAAAGGCGAATTCCAGGATAAAATCCTGGTATGGTTTGTTGGTTCAATTACCAATTATATTATATACTGGTATAGAAAAATTACGTGCAATTACTAGCAAAAAAAAAACTAGTTTTGTTGTTCAAACTTTATTCGAAAATATTTTTACCGTGTTTCGCAGGAACATCCATTTGGTAAAATTGGTATTGCTAAAGCATTATCAGCAGGATGGATTGGTATAGATAAATCAAGCGGTTCAGTCAGGATAGTGCGAAAGATTGACAAAATTGAGGATATGGTTAAGAAAAACCTTATTCTCATTGCTAATAACAGAGAGGAAGAAGTGAACCAGAAATTTATTCAGGAATTAAAGAAACGGAAATTGGTTATTGAGACGTATGTCTTTTTATTGTATAATCTGCTTTTCTTTTATCTTTAATGAATGATTAGTGTATATATATATATATATATATATCTATATTTGGTTTGGAAATGAGTTATGCTATTGAAGATAAATTAATTTTGAGGAATATAAAAACTTACTTTGTTCGTAAGGGTTCTTCATTCACAATTTTTCTCACCAAACAAGAAATGGATCTTACTGCCGATATGATAACTAGGTTGAATTTGATTTTACATAATTTTTGATTTTTTTTAATATGAGCATTGCTTCAAGGTTATTTAATGCGATGGCTAATGCTTACAAATTTTTTTATTCTTTCAGTGAATCATGGAGAATGAAAACTTTCAAAACTTATAATTTTAATGCTTATGGTTTATTACCAAACTCTGGACATTTGCATCCTCTTATGAAAGTTCATTATGAATTTCGACAAATATTCTTTCAAATGGGATTTTCGGAAATGCCGACGAATAGGTATTTCTTTCGACATGTTTTATATTTTTTTTAATTTTTATTTTTTCTTCGAGGGTCTAAACATTATACATTTGGAATATAATTCCTTTAGCTGAATGCTAAACACTATTTAAATAATACTTCTTTTCTTTTTCTTTTCTATTTCTTTTTGAAATTACATCTGTTTATTTTCTTTAGCTCTAAATTCCTTGTGTTTAATTTCTATAAGCCACAGATCTTCTGTGACTGTGTATAAGAACAATAGAATTAAGAAAATTTTTTCTATCTCATTTCAGTCTCAATTAAAATATATTCTTTTAATTATTCGGTAGGTATATAGAAAGTTCATTTTGGAATTTCGACGCTCTTTTTCAACCTCAGCAACATCCAGCTCGTGATGTACACGATACATTTTTCCTTTCCGATCCTGCTACAAGTGATCAGTTTCCAGAGGATTATGTGCAGCGAGTTAAAGAGATTCATGAGAAAGGTGGATATGGATCCAAAGGGTCGATTCCTATTTTGATTTTCCTTTGTTCAATTTTATTCTTTTGTTTCCCAAATATTATCACCTGTATTTTAGCTAAAATTTTAATTCTGCTTTTTTTTGAATTTTCTTTTAATGTCTTACCTCGGAGATAATTTTATTTACTTTTCATTTAATTTTTTCAGGTACAACTATGAATGGAAAATAGAAGAAGCTCAGAAGAATATCCTTCGTACACATACAACTGCAGTTAGTGCCAAGCAATTGTATTTACTTGCTCAGCAGGTAATTCACCTATTAAATATGAAAAGATTTAAATGGTTAACTGCCTATTTTTTTCTGTGGATGAGACGATATTTTTTTAATCGACTGAAAATCCTTTTCAAGAGCGAAGAGAAGGATGCAAATATTTGAAATAATCGTTTGAAGTGACAGATGGTACTAATATTGCTTAAATCCAAATTTAATTATCTTCAGTGAAAAATTCTAAAAACAATCGATTTAGTATGTTTGGTGCGCAGTTCCAAAAATATTTTTCAAAAATTTGTAGAAAATGATAGGAAAATTACGAATGGTTTTTAAATTTTTTTCCACTTTTATTTTTTATTTCCAAGAAACTGGCATAATCTACAGGAATATTTGCTCGATATATGACTTAGATCCTCCCAAGACTAGAAGCGAGGTTCCTCAAAAAATCATGGAGAATAATAAAAGGGTGATTCTGTGGGATTTCTCTATCCAAGCAGATAAACAAGTACTGGTAAAAATCAACAAGAATGTTGTGATAATAGACAAGAACCAGAAATCAGTACAGGTGATAGATATAGAAATCATTTTAAAAAGAAGGAATTTGTAAAAAATAGATTAATAAAATTATTGATTGGAAGCAGTGGGATGATGCCCGCGTACCATGCATTAATTGCAATAGATAACCTTGATCCCGCTGCTTTTTCAGGACATCAGAATAAAAACTGTTCAGCGCATGAATTGATAAAAATCTTTATTCGTTACCTCAAACTTGGGTAATTGAGTAGTTAAAACCAATTAATATATAGTCAGAAAAAATAAACTTCCATTAAACCAAATAAATTAAAAGGCAAAACAAAGGAAAAGAATAAAGGGATAAAGGACATATTAATGAATGAATATTTTAAATATTAATATTAATATTAAAATATTAACACTGGATCTCAACCGCTTAATAGCGCCTAATAGGGGCAGTATGATATGGCGCCTTAATTGTAAATTGTCCTTTATGTTTTATATAAAGTGCAGTAACCAAAGAATCGATTAAGAAAGTTTTCTTTGGCGGGTCGGGGTAACCGGTTTGAAATAATAATTTAAGAAAAGGCATCGCATTTCGAGACAATATATGCAATATTAGAGAAATAGAGCTTGGAACTGTGACTCCTAAACTAAAAACTAAAAAAGTGACCTTAACAGATTCCAGGAATAATATCAGAGATCTCTATCCAGAAGAGCGCACTATTAGGAACAGCTAATTTACTATATAGAACCCTCAACTTCCAGGCCTCTGATAGAGGACCCGAGGTTGAGGGTGGTTCTATAGGGGATGAGATTTTTTTAATTATTTGATACTCGGTTGCTGCATTTTTTATAGGGATTCAAACCGGTAAAATTATTCAGTATTGACAGAGTTTTTCGTAATGAAACATTGGATGCCACTCATCTTGCTGAATTTCATCAGGTTCATTTTAAATTTGAAGTCCATCTTAGAAGATTATATTACAATTCATTTTGTAGAAATTTATTATATTTGAACTAATGAAGAGAGTGAAGAGAGTATTCAAAGTGGTTAGAATCGCTCCTCTGGCTTTTTGCACTGGACAGATTTGCCTAGGAGTCTCTCCACGATAGAAATACGAGTCGGCAGCATCACATAGGTTTTTGGATAGATTTACTTCTGCCGCGAATGGAATTTCGTCTTCGGCGTTCTAAATTGAACAATAACTACAATAACTCACTAACCGCTATTCTCCTGAGGAAGAGTGGAGATTCAAACCTAAGCATCGATCCTCGGTGGCAGTTATTTTCATTGAGCCACCGACGCACATAGAAGTTCATTATATAAAATTTATTGGCAAAGCAAATTTCCAAATATTTTTAACTACATTGAGAATAAAATCGAAAAGTAATTAATTTAATTGTAATTTCCTTTTAATATTTGTTTTCATGATGTCATGTAGGTGGAAGGAGTGATTGCAGAACGAGATTTATCACTGGCTCATGTAATGGGACTTTTTACTGAATTCTTTCGAAAATGTGGTACGTTTTTTAATTGCGTATGCTTCAATTGTAATTCATTTTCACAGTTCAATCAGAATTTTTTTACTTGATTTTTACATAGTTTTACTCCTTTGTTTTTATTATTTACGTATTTTCAAATTCAGGGATTACTAATTTGCGATTCAAACCAACATATAATCCATATACAGAGCCATCAATGGAAATATTTGCATTTCATGTCGGTTTAAATAAGTGGGTAGAGATTGGGAATTCAGGAATGTTTCGCCCAGAAATGTTACTTCCTATGGGATTTCCTGCTGATGTTAGTGTTGCAGGTTATGGTCTTTCTCTTGAAAGGTACTTCTTCAGACTCATTTCTAAGAATTTTTAAATTTTTTTCTTTTTCCTCCTATCTAATTTACTTATATAAATTTATCTTGCTGTAACTTTTTGCTGTAATTTGAAGGCCGACGATGATTCGGTATGGAATTGATAATATCAGAGATCTTTTCGGACCAAAAGTTGATTTGGAGATGGTTTATAGGAATCCCATGTGCCGACTTGATAAAAAATAACCAAGATACCAAGTTGACTCATTTCAGTTTGCTTCAGTCAATCCGCATCATAATTTCTGTTTATTCAATGTTATAAAAATTGTGATTTCCCGTTGGTTGTTTTTTAGTTGAAAACCAGCAACAGTATGATTTATTGCAAGTAAGAACTATTGACTAGTGACTGTTGATTTAAGCTAACATATTTATCACTTGAAGGGCTAACATCGAGCATTCGAAAAAAAATAAAGGTGAAAATTCGATCAAACGGAAAAATGAGCAGAATCACACACATTTTTCCTTTTCAACTTTGAATTTCTCCGCATGTTTCTTCAACATTAATATTGTGAGGTAATAGGAACCTGGAAAAAGGTAAACACAAGAATTTCCAAGAAAAAAGTATTAATAAAATAGATTGGAAATAGCAAAAAAAAGGAAAGAATCTGCCAGTTGATATCAAAAATTATTGATATAAAATTTAAAAAAAAATTTGTGGACTTGGCGATCTAATTTTTTACCTGCAACGATTGCCAGAAACAATGAAACGACCAGTGAAATTCCGCAGTTCAAAGTAATATCAGACGCATAATACAAAGTTATGGTATAATTAATAGAAGAGTAATAATAAAGGATCGATGCTTTCCAGTGAATATAAACTAAATTAAGAAAATTAAAAAGTATGATAAAAAATAAAGAGAAACAAAAAACCCATGTTATTTTATAACAAATGGCGCCATAAATCGTAAAGATTTTACTTTCTAAGACTGTAAACCAGACGAATAATGGAAACCAAAGGTTATACCGCATCCATTTCAAGAATTTATGGTTCATCTTCAGTGATGACACAAGATAGTAAGTGTATCTGCAATATATAAGGTAAAAATCAAATAAGTAATTGGAAACATAATTTCTCCATATTTTCTACTTAAGCGGAAAAAAACAATGCATCAGTTCGAAGAGTTTTGTAGGTGGCTTGAAAATAGCGATAACTATAATTCAGAAATATGCCATAAAAGATATCTCCATTGTATTAGGATCTGAATAGGACAGACAACGGATTATAACGAAATTTGGCGAAATTTCAAGGAAATTTGCAAGGAAATTTTCCTACTTATTAATTAGTGCAATAAAATATAACCAAATATAAATAAAAAACTTGATATTACCAACCCAATCTCCTAACATGCGATATTCCAAATAGATGAATGAAATAGATAAGTCGGCAGAATTTCTATCAGAAATGAACATAGTAGCATTTATCCAAATCTAATATTTAGACTTTGCAAAATAAAATAGGCTTTCTTATAAAAATCTTCGTTCATCATCAAAATAAAACTTTCCTAGACCTAGCAAAGAGGAAAAAATTATATATTATCATTATTATTATTTATTATTCATTATTTATTGTTATTATTTATTATTATTATTCATTATTTATTGTTATTATTTATTATTATTTTTCATTATTTATTGTTATTATTTATTATTTTTCATTATTTATTGTTACTATTTATTATTATTTTCCATTATTTATTGTTATTATTTATTATTATTAATCATTATTTATTATTATTGTTATTATTAATATTGTTATTGTTATTATTATTGCTATTGTTATTATTATTGTTATTGTTATTATTATTATTGTTATTGTTATTATTATTGTTATTGTTATTATTATTGTTATTGTTATTATTATTATTGTTACTATTATTATTATTACTATTATTATTATTACTATCATTATTATTATTATTACTATTATTATTATTACTATTATTATTATTTTATTATTATTATTTATTATTATTATTTGTTATTACTATTATTATTATTATTATTCGATCATTACTCGATCATTTTTTTATATAAGAAAAAAATATAATTACAAAGATTATAATATTTATAATATATTTGATAAATTATAATAAATTATAATAAATACAATATTATTATAATCTAATGAATATAATAGTAAACGAAAATAGATAAAATAAATTAAACTTATAAAGAAAAATTTCGCTGGCTAACTATATTAACCTAAACCTAGATCTTATAATCTGAATTTTATATTACAAGGTCTTATAGGTCTAAGGATTAAAGCTTATTTTTGGAATGAAACCGAGAATTCAAAATTTTTTCTTACCATTATTATTAGTATAAAATACCTTATGATAGATATATTATGCACCATCTATACTCTTAAAAAAATGTTAAATTCATATGTTCATATGTAATTTCTCATTCATGTGTAGTTTCAATCTATATGCATTCGTTGCAGATGCTTGTATTATTTTAATTTAACTACATTTGTCAGTGAAAATAATTGGAAAAAATGGATGAAATGGATGAAATTTGATGGGAAGGTCTGTGGATAATGAAAAAAGGAAGAAATAAAAGAAAACTAATTACTAAAAACTAAAACATTAAAAACTAATTTTATAATAGTAATTTGATAGAAAGGATTGATGTTCCCTATAATTACTTTTTTTAATGTTTATATTCTTTGTTTTTAGTGGCACCAGTTCAATCGTTTTCTATTCGTTTGATAAAATTTTAAAAGAACAAATATATAATTTTTTAAACCTGAAAAAATCAATAAGGAACCACAATAAAATCATTTGATATGAAACCGCAGACTTGCGAAGACGATCACCATCAACAAGAAATAGTAGGGCTGCACATCCCATTAACTGAAAAACATTCATTTTATACATTTTATTTTATTCAAAAACTTAATTAATAAAAGAACATCAAAAAGCCATAATAGATATTAAAATAAATAAATAAAGCCATAATAGATATTAATAATAAAATTCTCTTCTCAGTTCTGTTTCCCGCAATCTCGGGTTCTTTGTTGGAGACTTAAAAGCGTAGGCAAATAAATGTTAGGGGAAGTCTGTTCAGGGATCTCCTCTGGAAAGAGATGTTGGATAGGAATCGAGCCCCAAATTTGTAAAGGGCATGGTCAGCATCCTTTCTAGCATTGTACTGTTCCATAAATATAATATATGCATATGTAGATATAACAATACCGAACAGGAACATTATGAAAAAGGGATGAAAAAAAATTAAAGCTAGAGAAATACCAGGGGAAAAAGGAGTTAAAAAGGAAAAAGATATGAAGGCCAAAGTGGTCGCAATGAAAACAGAACCTCTGTGAACCCTAAACTAAAGAAGTTTCAACAGGTCGCAGGAATAATATTAGAGATTTTTATCTAGAAAAACGCTAGGAACAGTTAAGATACTGCGCAGAACCCTAACGTTCCCAGGCATTTGATCAGAGGATCCTATAGAGGTTAAAAATATCACTTAAAGAGAGTGATAAAGAGGTTTTTTAATTGTATAAATGAAAAATCAACTTTAATAGCAATAAAAACCACTAATAACTTGCTTGCAGCAATACTGCTGCAACATTTATTGTCGTAATTCGCAATAGATGATTCAAAATATTGGTAAATAGGAACAGTAGAGAAATTTCTCCAAATAAAAAAATTTCACCCCAAAGAACATCAAAATATTCTGAAAAACAATAATATTCATGGAAAATCAAATCAATTTACGGACAAAATAATGATCTTTTAAATAATAATAGGTAAAAAATAATCTCATTTACAACATCATATATAAATCCTTTAAATACATACTGAATACAATGGCAAGACAACTGCTGTCGAAAATCGGAGCTTGGGTTCTGAATCCGACCGAAGTACCACGCTTAGTGAGAAAATAAAAGAGAAAATTGTTCCTCAGCTAGAAGCGCGAATTTGGAGACTGGATTCCCTGCAGGACTAATCCTTCAAAAATCCGTATGATACTGACGAATTACCTCCATTTCTATCGTCAAAAGACTCCTTGGTATAAATGACTAGTCCGAGAAGTCAGGAACGAGAGCAACCATCGACAGTATTTTTAAAAGAAAAAAACCATATTTTTTTTATAAATTTCTTTACACGTTCCAGTGCTTATCCGCTAATCCATTTTTTTTAAGAATCCTCACCATTACTGGTTAAACTCACCCCACTTTGTCACACTGAGCAATATGCCTTGGCGATAGAAATACAGGTGAGCCGCCAGCATCACCCGATTTACTCCTGCGGGAAATCGAACCTCAGCACAGGCGCTCCCAATCGAGTAACAACGCACTGAGCCATTCTATCCCCAATCCATTTATCCATCATGGGATAAGGTTTAACTATTGCTGAGAAAAGTAAAAAGACGAAAAGGAATAAGGAATTCCAGACATAATGTCTCAAATAAATGATAAATATTGATAAATATCAATGTACAAAAAAAATAAAATAGCGAAAACAAGAAAAAAAACTTACCGATTCCATTGATAAAAGCTTTTAGCAATAAAGTTGTTAAAGCATATAAATGCATAACGAACACAAATATATTATAAAGAATAAGATAATATTCGACAAATCTTTTAGAAAGTTTTCGAAAAGATTTTACTGGAAAATTATAAAATAATCGACAACTTATTTAGCCAAAATTCAATAACAAAACAAAAATTCTCGAAAAGGAATATGAAATTATTTTCTGGATTGACAATAAAGTTTGACCGGTATTCTATTCGATATAGTATGGTTTCGTTCCTTCATGTCTTTTTTTAAAGTGAACATTAAAAATACATCTGCTTGAAACTGAATAATAATCAGTGAGCAATGAGTGATGTCCAGTCGACAGGACCGAGTATATGAATAAAAAGTTTCTATATATTCAGATGGAGAAAGTTAATGAAATAATTTTTGATTAGAACGACATGGAGAAATCGCACCTTCTTTTCTCCATAAGCCAGGGTCACATAGACGAAAAATACCCAAAGGTTTTCCAACAAAATAAAGAACTTACGTTTCTCCGTAATATCTTTAAAATTGCTTGAGTTGCCATAATCTCCTAATACTTTACGCGTTAGTTCATCTAACTCATAATTTTGATTTTTCTGAAAACAAAAAAATAAGAATGAAAATGGAAGATACCAAAAAGCCTCTTCTCTTTATTATATTATCGAAAATTATATGGTTTATCTAAAGAAATGATGGAAAAGATTTAAGTAAGACAAGAGAAATATTAAAATTACGTCGTAATCAAGCATTTCGAAATCATCATCACTTGACTTTTCGTTCAACTCTGGATCTTGGAACCTTTCGAAATCGACCTAAAATACATTAGTTACGAATACATTTCAGTATTATTATAATATTATAATATTTGAAAAACAATGAACAATTTCACCGAAGGAACGTAATAATTTAACTGGCTGTAGTTGGAAATAGAATTTTTTGGTTTATAAACAATAAATAAAAGAAATAATTAATAAATGAACGAAAATTTCTTACTCTTAGCCAAGTAAGACGATTGGTTTCTTTAGTCAATGTCGGCCACCATTCATTTCTTGTCTTTTTCAAAATATAAAACAAACGACTTTCATTTGACTGATCGGCCTAAAATGCAAATACATTGATATTTTGTCAAAGAAAAGAATTCATTGGAAAAAAAAGGATAAAAAATCTTTTCATATATGAAATAATCCTTCGAAGAGTAAACTGGAGGGCGATATAAATCGAAATTTTTCTTTCCTTGCTACCTTTAAGAAGAAATACGCAAAAAAATATACATTTTTTAATTCCACACCATCAAAAAGTTTTAAGGTAAACGCATATTCCATTCTTCCTTGTGCACCAATTCCAGTACCTCGAAAAACAACCATATCATCATGCACAGTAAAATTTATTGACTAAAATAAATTTAGCAAAGTTGAAAATACAGTGGAAGAATAATTTAGAAAAAATTAGGTTGCAGCAAAAACAAAGTTGAAAATTTATATTATATAAATTGCAATAATTAAAAAAAAAAATTATTTTATCAAAAGAAATAAAAATTGATAAATTTAATAAATTTGTGAAGATTCAAGAAAAAAAAGTAAGAAATTCAACAAAATAAATAAATAATTATAAAAATATTTAAGCTAAAGTGTATGTGTATTTTAAGTGTAAAGAAATAAAATTCAAAAATTCAAATTTAAAAATTATAAAGAATAAAATAAAAGAATAAAATTATAAGGAATATAATAAAGCTGAAATTTAATAAAAATTTAATAAATAAAAAATATCAAATAAGCTATAAGCCAAAAAACGATTAAAGCGATTTGAAACTTTTCTCTCTTATGCAGCGATAAGAAGTAAGATTGAGGAATTTCTCGAAAAAATGAGCAAATCACAGCGATTCAGAAAATGCTCCATACGGAAGATAAAAAGCTTGGAAAGAAGCAAAACTATCAGAAAAGGACTACATTCGTTTTGCCAGAAGTCCATTTGCTGGCCAAAGATCCACTTTATGAGAAATCGGTGTCGAAATCGCGTTCCTTGCTCAAGCTTCCGTTTTATAATTCTTACTGATAAACGACTTTTATTCTGCAACGAATTGTCTTAAATTAAAATATCAAAAACATACCGCAGAATCTCGTAAAGCGACTGTCAGGAAAACATCCATTTCGTTTTGCGCCCAATAAACGAATGGACACGGCACCATTGCGATTAACTAAATTAACTTTTAAAAAAGTGGATTCCAAATAAGATAAAATATTTATGTAAGTAAATTTTTTGGTTTCACCACTGAATACTGAATTGAATAGTGGATTAAGGAGAAAATGAAGAAAAGAATTATATCTACTAGATGCATGAAGCAGTAAAGCAAACGAATCCAAGATAAAAATATACATTTTATCAATTCCTTCCATCAATATGCAGCTTTATCGCATTTTAAGAAAACTGCGAACTAGCAAAATCTCATAACAATACCTCGTCTGACAATTGCGCACGACCGGGAAGAAAGCCAGACTCTCCAACAATCAAACGTTTCGTTGGTTTTCAGTTTCCACGAGTCGGATTCAAGCAAAGTCCGGCCGCAGAAGGCTAGATTTCTTTTCTGTACGGAACTTTTCGCACGCTAATTTTGCCAGCATCACGCGCGCAATTTACAGAAAAGCAAATACTATTTAGAGACAACGGCACGCGCGATTGACAGACAGGCAATTGTCATATAATACAATAGCAGCTCTCGCATTTTTTTTTTTAAAATGAATAAAGCAAAGAAAAAATAATCCAATCGAGTGAGCGGGCGGCGGTGAAACAAAGAATTCTACGAGTCATAAAATAAAATAATAAAAATTCAAAAATAAATTAAAATAGATATTTAATCGAATTGAGCAGCACTATAATATATATTTTTATTCTTTTATTTCGCATTTACTCCTTTTATTCCTATTTTTTGTTTGTGGAACTGAGTTTCAGTGATAAATTGTCTCGTAGGAAAACATAAAAAGGAAAGATAGGCAGGCGGGCAGAGGAGACTTTTGTCGCTCAACTGTCTCTCTGGTGAAAGGCTTTCTAGTTGGTCAGTGGTAACTGTGTCATTGGAAGAAGAGAAGTTAGAAGGCGAGCAGGCTTTTCCTCCTCTACACGCATTTCTTTTCGCTTTGTCCTTTTTCATTAATGCTCACGCCGAAATCCTTTAGCCACGATGTTACTTAGTTATTGAGCTCGGATCGGCCTCTGTTTCAAGATAAGGCTGATTTTTAAAGACGAACGTTAGAGCTCGCCTGCTCGAAGCTGTTAAAAAAAACCAACATTCGGCTGTCCTGACCTTCGTATTTGTACGGTTTGGACAGCAGTCGGAGCAGCTAACCGCTTTTCGTTGAGATTTTCCATGCCGAGCAGTAAGTGATATTTTCTGCCAATAAATTTATCATAAATCGGAAAAAAATCTAAAATAATATTTGTGTTTGCAATAAAGGAGGCAATGATTTCGTTATAACCAAATCAAAATGGTTTTAAAAGAAAATTATCACCACTGCTATCATCGATAGAATCATTTAGGCAGTTGACGTTAATGTTATGGACGCTAGTGATAATGCACAATCGGCGATCAATCGACCTTTTGCAATCAAAAAGTGGAATGCTTTGGCATTATGGTCGTGGGATGTTGACTGTGATACTTGTGCTATTTGTCGAGTACTTCTTACTGGTTAAATTTTTCAAATTTAAGAGTTTTTGGCAGAAATTTGCGAAATATGCAAATAAATATCGAAATAGTTAGGCAGGAACGAAATTCCTCTTCTCAGAGCATTGGCCATTCCTGGCTTGGCTGACTTGTTGGCCATTAAGATAAGGTCTCTTCACCAGATAATTACTTGCGAATAGAGAGTTAAGGTGGTGTTGGTCAATCATCCGCATGAACGAAATGTAAAAAAATATGTGAAATTTAGATGCATGTCTAAGATGTCAAGCAGATAATAAGCAAGATGTATGTGTTGTTGTGTGGGGTGAATGTAATCATTCGTTTCACAATTGTTGTATGGCACTATGGATAAAGCAAAATAATCGCTGTCCTCTATGTCAACAGGTTCAGTCTCCTTTTAATTTTCAGTTTTTGAATTTTTATTTATTTTCTAAATTATTAGAAAAATTATTTTTCTATTTATCTTTATTACATTTTATTTTTTCTTGAGGACTAAACATTTTTATTTTTTTAAAAATATTCTGTTACTGGTTAAACTCGTTCAAATATACCAGGTAGTCCCTTGACGATAGAAATACAAACAACACCACCCGGATTTTTGAACTCCTGCCGCGAATAGAACTTCAGCATTCCGAATTAAACAGCAACCCACTGAGTCATTCTCTTCTCCTTTCTTTTGCTCCGCTGGGCGGCACCGCCACTCGACTAAAGGTGGTGCATCGTTTGGATTCGAATCGAAGCCTCGATTTTCATGGCAATTATCTGGCTTTGAATTTTTTATTAAAATATTGGGAATTATTTTATGGATTCTTCTTCTACAGCTGTTACTATTACTGGTTAGGCTGGCTTCACTGGATACAAGGGTAAGACGCTTCTAAACGGTGCGGTCTGATGCCATGGTCGATAGTAATAGAAGCCACTCCTTTTTCAATCATATAAGTCCATATATTGCTGGTCCACCTATTCAAAATCTTTGCTGATTGTATCAGTCCAGATCTTGACTCGACCACCTTGTTAGTTAGGATACCATCCATCATAGGACAAATAGCGAAATACCTATCAATTCCTTTGATGGGCAATGAAGAACGTCCTAATTAGCGAAGGCGATAATCATATTAATAAGATGGCAGTTGATCGAAAGTACATGCAGCCATGTGAGGTTTTATCAGCTCGACGTAAAATACATCTTAGACATGAGGGGAATGGTCAAAGGTTGATAGCTTCTTAGCCTATCTTTCATAGGCCATGTCTCGCAGCCATATAGCGAAAGAATCGCGACTATATAGATGCAGGTCTATCGTTTTTATGGTCATTTCGTGACGGCTCCATAAAGGTTTATCAATCGCGTTTCTAGCTGCCGTTATCCGGATTTTAATTTCGTCATTTACCTGGCCATTCGGTATTAGAATGGATCCAGGTATTTAAAGTTGGGCATTTCCTCAATCCACGAAGTTTGCAAAACAAGACATTCATTTTATCAGCTTCTTATATATAAGGCGAAAATAGTTCCATTGTATTTACCCTGAATCTCGCTGCACTCCTTGTTGACACATTATTTAGCATTATTTGCACTTCGTAGGAACTGCTAGCAAAAAGGGATGCTCTGGACTGATTTGTACACCTCTTGAGTACCAATGTCCAGTTATTATTAGTCTATTGTATAGTTGAATATTGTAGGAGAATAGAGGCAGCCTTGTCGGACACCAGTTTTTATTTCGAAATCTGTCAGATTCCCATATATGCAGACCTATGCTGACATGCGTTGATTAAATGCTTTTATGAGAATGATTTGGACACCGTCATGTTCCATCATCCTCCAATGTACCTTTATATCAATCGAATCAGTGGCAGCCGAAAACGATGAAATACGTAACAGTTGCAGATATTTGAAGGAATTTAATTAGCACATGCACGGGCCTAAATCCAACTTGATTGAGGTGCATCCTGCTATCCCATACTGCCATGAGTCTATTGAGTAAAAGGGAAGGAAAAATTTTTGCTGAGATATCTAGTAGGCTGATTCCTCGATGATTGTTGCAGTATGTCCTGTGACCTTTCCTGAAAGTAGAATTGCTTTGTTCCACCAGTCATCTGGTAATATTTCTTTTTTCCATACCAGATAGTATAGGTGCGTTGTTGAAGAATGATAAAGAACATTTGAGGAGTTCAGCCATACGGAGATCATCTTTCGGAATCTTATTGGTCTTAAGCTTATGGGTAACAGATTACTTCTTCTTCTATTAGCGGTTCACAATTGCAAACGTATGGCTCTACGAACGTATCAGTTCCATCTTTCGGAGTCTTTTTGGCCTTATCAGCTATATGCAGGTCAACAGACGACGCATCATAGTTAAATTTGGCCTCAAACAATTTCTCCCATCTTATGAGGCCAATCTTAATACTCTTATCAGGTACACAATTGCTATCCTTTATCATTTTACTATCATTTATCATTCATTTATCATTTGTTATTTTACTCTCTGCGTTTTAGTTTTTTTATGAAGAAGGCGGAATAGTTTCCTATTTTCGCTTAATCGAGTCACTCCCTCCATTCTCAAGGCCATTATTGTTCCAATAGTGATTTTTGTCCCGCCGTGCTGCTTTCGTTGCAAGTCTTCGAAGCATCTGGTAGTCAGGATAATCACCTGACAGTCATGCTTTGGCAGCTTTTCCAGACAATTGGACAGTTGCTTCCAATATCTAATAAGCGCATTTCCTACTAGTATGTCCTAGCAATTCTTGACTTTCGAAGATATTTTTTAGTTGTGACCAGTATTCGTTTGCCGTTTCAGAAAAGTCATCGATATTTATGCCATTGAGGTGCTTCAATAATTAGGTTTGAAATGCGCTTATTCTTCCCATTTTTTAGTTTGAGATAGTTGAAGGATCTTGGTGGATGCTGTTATTGCGAGTTGTCAATTTTGTGCTTATCTTGGTCATAACATAGTCAGATCCATGAAGATTACTAGCTTCTGAGCTATGCAGTACTGAACAACGGGCGATTGATTAAGATATAACCAATCTGGTTAGAACGTTGGTTATCCAGGGAATTCCACATGACTAAATGTCTTCTCCGAAGCATGTATTAGTAACAAAAAGTTCATGTTCTTCGGCAAAGCGAAAAAAGGATTTCCCATTGGCGCACCGGTTCCCTTTGCCATATTTGCCAATTGTCGAGGTCATCGCAGAAGTTATGACCTATATGCGCATTCCAGTCTCCGACCATGTCATAATGACCATGTCATTTTTCGGTAGAGACCTTGTTAACAGTTGAAGTTCGGTATAGATTATCGCGGTCATCTACCGATAAAGTTGGAGCACATACATGATCTACAGAACTTACCTTTAAAGGGGCGTACGATCGCTTACCGGTTTCCACTCAGTCAAAGCCGAATGGGCCTTTTCACGACAGGCACTATGCCATTTCTCCCCGAGTTATCCGAGGCACCGCAGTGATATTGCCAGTACTTGCTAGCCGGGATTAATAATTACTCGAGACGTGAAGTAAAGAAGACGCAAACATGATATTTATTTATATTTAGATATTTAGAAATGATATTTAGAAAAAGTGTGTACAATGATCGCTTCGCTTGCAACGTCCATAAGCCTTCTGATGTTTTACTTTTATGTCTATTTTGTGGATTAAAGTAACATTTCTTAGTAAAAATATTTATTTGGTTATATTTTGAGCAGTTAAAAATTTTTTTATAATTTTGCAAGTATTTTTAGGATTGGCAAGTACAACGAACTGGTCACTGAAATCTATATGTAAGAAAACATAGTGAACCTGGATTTCAACATTCATTAATGAAATTTTTTATCACAGTATTCAAAAAACGCGGATTTTTTAAAATTCCTTGTTCTTTTCTTTCTTTTGGTCCGCTTATTTTAACACACCTGCCATTTTTTTTTAATTTGACTACGCTGGCAGCAAATGATTTCATCATCGCCATCTGGATTTCTCTTTTAATAATAGGTTTGCTATCGTGAAGAGATGGGAGTTAAATCTGTGATAATCGATTTCAGAAATAATATACCATGCGACCATTCAGCCCACTTTTTTAAAATATAATCAATTTTTTTAATTTTTATTTTTTATGTCTTTTTCTTATGTTATTTTTTATGTTATTGTGTTCATGCATTTAGAATGGCCTGAACATAGGAATTTTTTTAAATTTATTTAATCATATTGCATCAATTTTGATATTAATATTATCGACTTAATTCATTTCGTAAATCTACGACAAACAAATTTACTAATTTTTAATTTGTATGAAAGGTAAATATAGTATTCTGTGAAATCTTTCATCGTTTTTTTACATACTTATGAAATATTTAATTTTCTATTTGTCCGTACGGAACATATAGCATGTTACATCACTAACAGAATGTAGGCAAAACTCTTGCGCATGTATAACATAAGCGAATTCTTTCCCACAAACAACATTGAATTCACCCAGAAGAAGTCTTTCACTAATTCGTTGAATTCTTCGTTTAGCTTCAGTTATATCTGGTACGATGACCTGAAAAAGATTTCTTGTAATGTCTAAAAATTAGGAGAAAATGAGGTTCGGCAGAATCTTCATTATCGCTTGGATTTTATTGTATTTTCATACAATAGCAGTCCTTGATGCAGCCTCATAGGAAATAATATTCTATTGGACAGCTCTATCCTTTTTTCAATTACACCATAAAATTTAAAATTGGAAGCATCTGGAACATGTAAAAATTTGGCACACGATATACTTGCGTAAAAATTTGATAGCAAACAGCAGCAATCTTCCAATACATACAGAATATGCAAAGCGTTTCATCTTATTTTAAAAACAACCGATATTTACAACAATTTAATTTATTATCTATTGGCTTATTGTTGGATATTACTTGTGCTGAAATGAAATAAGACAAAACTTTTCCGGCGTGCAGTATGAGAGAAAATATATAGTTAAAATTTAATTGGTCAGAAAGTTTTCATAACCTGGTTCATGAGGTAGCGAAGAATGACATTGTTACATATTGGATTTGTCGTAATCTTTGCTGATCTTCTTGTACTTGAATTATGCTGTGTGAATTGACAAGGCTGGTTGCAACCAGAACAGCAGTCATTCTAAATTAATTTCTAAGGACCACTGAATAAATTGTGAATACGTAAACTTATTTCTTATGAAATTGTTTTGGGAATTTCTCTCACTTTTTTAAAGTAATTCCATTTATTGAATCTTTTAGGCATTTAAATTTAATAAATCATCAAGTTATAAAATTTTTTAGCAGTAAAAGTGTTAAAATTAATAGTCTGAGAATTATGACGAGGGAAAACCATATATAATAATAAGATTAATCTAAAGACTCCATTTGTTGGAAAAAACTGAAATAAACGTTTTCCCATGCTTAAAATCATAAGTCAGCTGTAAATCCGGCAATTTTGTAGGTAAATTTCCCTTGCAGCTGTGAGGACACTGTCAAAATTTGAAATTATACGTCTAATTATAAATAAAATTTCTTTCACATCCATTATAAAAATGATAAAGAATGCGACTAAGGGTCAGTGAATGTGTTAATCTGTCGGTAGTTAGTCAGTCAGCTTCTATAATACCCCCTTCGTATTCTTTCATAATCCTACCCTTCAATTCGTTATAATAATTGATATTATTTCGCACATCGTTCTATTATATTGATATTTGGGCAGTAATAAAATATAAAATAGCTATGTGTTTCAAGTTCGTGAAAGTCGACAAGCACGCAAGCCACTTCTTTCAAAAATTTTGGCTTCTTTTTCTTTATGAATTAACAAAACTTTTCATTTCACCACTAGGATTAAACCATTGCAGCTGCTATGACCCTTGCTAGAAGGAAGTAAGAAGTACCAAATCGCTAGAATTGTTTCACGAGCCGTTCCAGCGCGTTTAATTTGTTATACTTTATCACAGTTCATGAGATAAAGATTTACCTGACTTATCGAAAAGTAATTTTTCTTCTGATGTTCCTCGCTATCTTGTATGTAACTGATAATTGGCCCAAAAGATGCGTTTTCTTTCAATAGTTTGCTAGCGTAATATCTAACTGGCTTTTTCTTCGAAGAAAGCAATTGAAGAGAATCACTATAAGGTGGTACAGTATAGTGATCATCGTTAATACTTGCTAACTTTTCCGTTTCTTGAGGGATTTTCCATTGTGTTTTTGGAAACACTGCTTTCATGATTTCTATTGGTTCAGATTCATCATTATCCTTACTTTCTTTTTCTTTTTCAGTTGTTTGATATGTATTCTGGATCGTTCTGGGTGGTGGAAGAATGCCTCCAACTGGATAATTATCACCACTTCTTCCTATGAATGAATTTGATTGAGCGCATGGAATCGGTTTAAATGGAGAGACTGGTGGATAATGCAGTGCTTGTGGGCATAATATTGGTGGTGGGCAAACTGGTAAAACAGGTGGAGGAGGAGGTAGTGGAGGAGGACATACAGGTGGTGGTGGGCAATATATAGGTGGACAAGGAAGTTGTGATGTATGTGGTGGACAAAATACTGGTGGTGTATGTTGGGGACAAGGTGCTGGTGATTGAATGGCTGAAGTTGGACATTTGCAACATTCATTTGTATAGCTGCCTTTAGCAATCGCAAACACCAAGAATATAATCATAGGAGCTTTTGCTATAATAAAAAATTTTTAAAATTTGAGGCTGCTTTTTTATGGCAATTAGATTAGTTGTTTTCGAGAATAATGATAGAAAGAGACTTTTTTTCGCGTCTCATTTAAATGTGACAATAATAAGAGACAGAATTTCGTAGAATTTTTATAATTCATTGTGATTTTATAATTTATAATTTTTATAATTTAATTTATGTAGAATTTTTATTTTTATAATTTAAATTTTATAATTTATAATTTATTGTTCAATCATTTCCCAGTAATTTTCAAGCACCAAGCCGAGTTACTTACTACCTCGATTGGCCAGATTCTGCTCCTCACAGAAATAAAAACATCTAGTTAACAGACACATAATTAGAAAATTCTGGTGGTGTTGACTAGTGAACCGTCGAAATTTCTATCTCTAATTTCCTGGCAAAAATTCCTCATCATAACCACCAATGAGGAGAACCAGAAATTGAGCGTTAATTACTTAATTCATTAATTAATTACTTAATTCATAACTGGTAACTATTTTTCATTGACAAAAAATCAAAAATCAAAAAATTCGCTTGCTTTTTCCAAGATAGAATTCTGAAATCAATGCATAAATAACCTTAAAATTAATCCATTTCCTTTGAACTATTTTTTCAGACCTAGCAGCACTCATCATTTTCCGTTTAGATGGGTAGGATGAGATCGCTTCGCTACCTTTCGCCAGAAAGTCAAGAGAGAAATACAGATAGTTGCAGCTATCACACAGTATTCAGAAAACAAAATTCAGAAGCAGTGGTCAAGAACAGCTTATATTTCTGATTAATGTTACTAAACAAGAAAAAATCATCAATAGTGAAATTTGAAAGAAATAAAGAAATTAATAAAATCTCTGGATACTGCCTATCCACTTGTATTACTATCTCATACTGATCCACTGACGAAAGAATTCATTCTTATTCATTCTAGTAATCAGGTAGTAATGATCAATCTAGCCAACTGGAATCGTTGCTTAGTTTTCGAAGAATAATTGTACTCTTATAAAATAGGAAATTAAAGTGAAACTAAAAGAAGCGGGGGATCCACACAAAAATTTGTTAAACGATTGTAATCAAACAAATAAATGATTTTATGAACAATACTGAGCACTTTTCATTAGTTTGCATCGCCCATTTCAGGTATTTCTTCGACACGGAATATAAAATATCTTACGGCAATCCATCTCCAGTGTTTTGCATTTTTCAATTATTACTTTTAATTGTTATCGAATTTATGGCGATTATTTGGAAATGAGCGAGGCGACTAGTTTGTAAGTTTAAAAGGAGTGATAATTCCGCATAAAATGTATAGAATTCTGCGACAATGGTTATAAATAAAATCTCTTTTCCATATTATTTGATTCTGCATTTTAATTAAATTAACGAGCTGAATTTAATTGACAGTCAGCCAGCTTCCAAACAGTTCAGAACAATTTTATGAGACTTTTTACGAAATACACTGAAATAAAATAAAAATAAAAAATAGAATAAAAATAAAAAATAAACTTTTTTATAAATTCGTCAACTTTTAAATTTAAAAAAGAAAACTAAAAATTGAACATAGATAAGTGTTTGAGGATGAACTTATCATGAAAATAAGTCATATAGTGGCAAATTTTTTAGATAACGAGATAGACGAGTGGTTTTTGCTGAGAGTAAGGTCATGAGCATCTTCGGATATCGTGACTCTGTCTTCGGAACCAATCATTCAAAAAAATCAGATGGTGATGGCGACCCACTTCTGCAAATGTCTTCATAGGAAAACGAAAACTTTTCGTCATATTACGAACCACTGAAGTTGGTCAGAAATAGCACCCAACCATTCAATTACTGCAAAATGTATAATTTTTTTATTTACGTTTTTTCTTCCTAATACTACTGAAGGTATCCACCATTGGTAGTATGGCTGGTTTCACTGGCTACTAGGATGAGACTCTTTCATTTGCGTTTTAAGAGTCGCTTTGCGATGGAAGTGAATCCCATTCACCACTCTACATATTTAAATAATATTTAAAATGCGTAAAATATGCGTAAAATGCGTAAAATATATATAAGATGAATAATATATAATTAATGCTGAAAAAATACTTAAGTAAAGATAAAATATGAGCTGAAAAAGTGGATGCAATTTCTTTTTTAGGCTAATGCCTATGAGAAAAGAATTTTTCAGTGACAAATATATATAAAGATTTATATTTTATACATTTAAAAACTGAAATTTAAAACATCTTCAATAATTTATGAAGCAGTTTAATTAAATCTTTATCGCTATAGTGCTATTTTTTAACTTTTTTGTTCGAACCTTTCGTTTTTTCTTAATTGTAATGATTAATGAAGTCACAGGCAGGTCTTTTATTTTTGTTATGCAACAATTTATTATTTGGATATATGTAAATACAGTTCATTTAAGTGGGTTTGGTGCACCATCCATTGACAATAATGTAATTTTTACAACACCACTGGATTTTCTGATAACTATTGAAGCCTGAAATTAACCAAATTATAGGAAAGGGTTTTCAACCTGCTTGAGATTATTTAGTTAAAAAAAAGAAATGTCCAAAAATCTATTAAAAAAAAGATGAAAAACTTCTTTAGTCTACCATTGGTGACATAGAGATCGCTTCGGCTTTTTAACACACCACTAGATTCACATGGCTGAGTATTGCAAATTTTTGATTGTGGAGAACCAAATTTGGGTGAGCTAAAGTAATAATGGTGATAATAAGAATGAATTTCAATTTTTTGTCCATGAAATCGAAATGAGATTGTCGATAAAATTATGATAAACTTGTTTCACCTGATTTGTTTTCCATTTTGCATTAAATATCGATATTGCACTCCACATGCACCGCACTTTTCAGTGCATGCTCCCCATTTTCCCCAGTTGATGAGAATTGGATTTGATGTTTGACTGCATGGATTCAGTTTCGTCAAAAATGAATTTGGGTTTAAAATTTGAGTTGTGATCTTTGAACTTTTTGCATTTTCTGAATAAAAATTGGAATTAAAACTTACTCTTTTTATTGCCAACAATCAATCTTCCCGCATTATAAGTAAGGATAGTAAAATTTGAAATGGCTGCCATATTTTGCCAACAAATAATGCAATAATACAATAGCCTTGACTAAATCTTTTTTTTACTTCAACAGCACTCATTATGATTTGGATGGACTTACAGATGGTTCACTAAAGTTCATTAAGTATATTTTACCATATAGTTACTTGGAGTTGGAAATGTTCATATGATATGTTTTCAAATTTCTAACATTTCACTTCAAATAACAAATTCCTGTTAAAAAATCGAAATATGGCATCCTCTACTTATTAAGTATTAAAAGGAAACTGATATGAAAACTAAAACTAATGCACGTATTTTGCGATATTTGAAAACCTTAGTAAATTGTAAAAAAAAGGTACCACTGATATATCTCAGCGAAAAGGTTGATTTCAATAAAGCTTTACTGATTACTATGATAAAAGAATTATGCGATAAGATTTTGCCCGAATAAGGCAGGCAACACAATCGAAACCCGATTAATTGCATATCGCTGTTATGTTTCACCTCAACAAATTCTTCACACGTTGGATCACATTTAAAAAACACCTCAAAAACTTCGAATCGAATTTTATTACTATCTTTCTGAAAATCAAAAAATGTTTAAAAATGATTTAGTTTTAACAAAATTGCGTTTCTACTTATGAGTTACATCTACAATTATTTGATTTCACACGGAACTAGTTACTATTCATCCATCTTGCGGTAAAAGTATTGATATGATTACAATTATGGGAAGTTATCATTAATGATGCTGGAAAAATCGTTTTTCAACATGTTTCATCTCGATTAATATAAAAAAAGGAAAAAGCAAACTGTTGAAATTCTCCAGAAACAAGTCTCATTGCCTGAATATTTCAGAATTTGCCAAATTTCTGTTGCAATTAATTCACGTCCACACCCTAAAATTGCAGAGAAAAAAAGAAAGAAAATTTAGGAATACTAAATTTAGAATTTAGGAATTATCGAATGAATATTGTGAGTATGTTGGGCAACATTTCTACTTCAAACATAGTGAAAATGCAGAAATTTCTGAAATTTCAATGTATATATTCAGTTATTCACCTTCAAACATGGTTTATGCATTAAATCATTTTAGTCACCAACAGTTAGATTTTCCGCATTATGGACAAGTTATCATTTGATATTTATTGATTGGTCTTTAAAGATGCTCAAACTTTCTTCCATCTATTGAAACCAAGTTAGCTGTGTAAAAATGAGGCTTAGGTAAAACTTACTTGAATATTGTAGAGTATCACAGTATTGTCCTCCAAGACCTTCTGGGCATTTACATCGCTGACAACCATTCGGGTCAGGATAACCACCATGCTTGCAAGGAAGTCGCCGCTCGCATCTCTCTGGAGTCTTCAAACAATCAGTTCTTCGGTTTTGGCCGTTTGACTTGAGAAAAAAATTATTAAAAAATGTGAATTGCTGGATTCATGAGAAACTATTGGAACTTCCAACTTTAAATAGTAAAAACTGCGAAATCTATATATATATCGAAATTAAAATTTCTGCAATTACCTTACTTATTCTTAAGTACTTGTAGTGATATTAATATCAATGCTCTACATTTTTTTCAGTATTTGTAAGGTATTTGCCACTGGTGCCTAATAAATATCTGAAAAGACTCGATCTTGATTAAGAGGAAGCCCAATATACGACCCTATGGCCTACGCGGATTTCAAAGAAAGTTCTGCAATATTTCGGTCATCAGTGTATATGCTCTAACTTTAGGCGCAGTGACAAAGATAAAAATAAGTTCTATGCTGAGCTTCAACTATCAACAATATCTCTAACAAGAGATGACATAGTCATGATCGGAAGAGACTGGAATGTGCATGTGGGTCATGATGCCGTTACGATAGATTCGGTATTTAGCAAATATGGCACATGGGTCCGATGCGTCAATGGAGAAAGTCTTCTTCATTTTGCCGAATAGCACGAGCTTTTCGTTATTAATATATACTTTCGGCATCGGAGAAAACATCTAGTTACATGGAACTCTCGACAAATAAATAAAAACTAAAAGAATTTGATAGATTAACGATAAATGATAAATAACAAGGAAAATTAACTAATATTCCAATCAGATTGATTATAACTTATAAATTAGACAGTCGTCGTTGAAAAAGTTCAATACTAGAATCTTCATGGATTAGACCATGTTACGATTTGAGCCAAGATTTGCATAAAATTGACAAGTCGTATGAAACAAAGCATTCCAAGATCTTTCGACTATTTTAAATTAAAAGATCCGGGAACAATAAGCGCAGTTCAAACTGTATTATCCCAGTATTCGACTATGCGATAGACTTGATAATCGCTTATCGCCACTCAAGAGGAGTGCAAATCAGTCCAGAGCATAGCATCACAGACCTTGAATACGCTGACGATATAGCTCTGATATTTGCTGATAATGAAATGCAAATAATGTTAAATAATGCATCAACAACTGCAGCAAGAATGGACTCAAAATCAATGTATAAAAACGAAAGTTTTTTCGTCTTAGATATAAAATGCTGATAAAATACCTATTTTTATCAATTCATCGCAGGATGAAGAAGTACTTGACTTTAAATACCTTGGATCCACTCCAATCCCAAATGGCCAGGCAAAAGGTGAAATGTTAACCAGGATAACGACAGCTAGAAATGCGCTTTTCCGGTTGATGAAATCTTTATGGAACCGTCGCGAAATCACCATAAAGACGAAAATCTGTATAGCGGCAATTCGTTCGATGTTGCTATATGGCAAAACATGCCTATTGAGAGTGGAAGATATTAAGAAGCTATCAACCTTTGACCACTCATGACTAAAATACATTTTACGGATCTTTCGAGTACATAAGATCAAGATTGTATCCATCTTCGCTCAAATACCACCTGTATTAATATTGTTATCACAAAGAGTCGCTTTGGTTGCGCGTTCTCCGTCGTCCACCACAAGAGTTGACGCATATTTCGCTTCTTGTGGTCTTTGGCGTCAAAAGAGCCAAACACCTAGACTGGTAAAGTCAGGAAAGATTTTAAAGATTTATTAAGACCAGCGATATATGGACTTATACGATGAAAAAAGAAAAATGGTTTTCTATTAGTACTAGCAATGTCGTCGGATGAAGCACCTCTTACCTTTGTAGCCAGCTTAACTAGTAATGGTGAGAGCTGTTAAAAAAAGAAAAAGATATCTAATAAAAGAAATTTCCGATGCCAAACACTTTCTTTCCTGTTTCACCATTAAATATAATTTATTTAACTCACGAGTGCAATAAAGTTGATTAATCTGTTTGACATCAGTGAATGATGGTGAAACTCTATTGCCAATGGTTGATCGAAATTTAACATCCCAAGGATCAATTGTTAGTTGATAAGGACTCTTCGCAAAAGTCTGAAATATATAAAAAATGTAAAAATCTCAAAAATGTGTTACTAAAAAATATATTGGGGCCCTAAATAATTTTTTTTCTGGATAATTCATGGAATCAAAAGAGTTGCAAAATTGACAAACATTTGAAGCATAATGCATGATGGAACCAAGATCATATGGTACTCCCAAGTCAATAATTTCCAATCGTGATCGTTTCGCGAAATTCCCTTCTGTTCCGCTCAAAACATGACTTAAGTTTATACGCACATAATAATCTCTTTCAGGTCGCTCTTGTTCATGCCAAAAACCTAGCGAATGTCCAATTTCATGAATTATTATGCCCAACTAAAAAGAATAAAAATTTATCTTGAACATAACTTGATATTTGAGGTTTGTCTTTTTTCAGATTTTTGATTAAATTCACGAATGTATGGAAATTAACAATTAGAGACGGATTATTAATAACTGCTCAAATTATCCTGTTGTGAAGTAGTGCTTTGGCACTTGATTCTTGCGGGAATTTAAAAAATACGAGTGCTGTTGATGGACTTCTTTTAAGCCAAGTGAAAAATTTCTAGTAAAAATTTCAATATTAACAGCCAGTCGTGCTAAACTAACCAGAAATGGTGAATATTGAAGCATCTATGGCAATTATTCATTAATTAACAAATTTAATGATTAGTTGAAATTTAATAATCGTTGAGCTATGGTGATTTATAGATTCGTTGAAAATTACCGTTTCGCAACCATATCCAATTGAGATTGTTTGACTTCCACCAACTTTTCCAATTCCTGAGTAACAGCTGAAATTTTAAAACAGGCAAAAAAACTTGATGAGGGAAAAAGATTTTTAATATAAAAAATCAAAATATTCTTTTAAGAAATCAGCTTCTTTGATTCATATTGGAGAGCCAAAGATTGGATCGGAAATTTCTGAAAAACTTCACCTCCATCTAACAGCATTTACCATTTCTGGCTCAGATAGCTCCAACTCCATTAACTATTAAGAACACATTCCATCAGCTTCTGGTAGAAGCATAGCTGATTTCCAGCCCCACTCTCGTATTCATTGGTAGATTTATTTCAGCCAAGGGAAAAAAATCAAAATTATGTTGGCTTATCTTACTTGAATTAAGTTTTGTTCAGACGAACCATAATCTACCTTTCAGTATTTTTCATCAATAACAAATTTTTGTGGAGAATTTCTTTAAAAATTTATTTTTTTTTAAACTTACCCGCTTCCTCGAATGAAAACGATAAAATCATTATGAGTGGTTGTTCTCTCCAAAAAACGAATACATGTTTCTTTCTCCAAATATTGCATACTTTTCTTTATTTCATTTTGCCACTTTTCTAAATTGAATACTAATTTCAATAACAAATAGTTTGCAGAATACAAAAATGTTAATGACATTTTTCCCATACACTTTCTTACTTACTGAAGGTCGTTCTAATTTCATATTTATGAAGAAATGTAAATGTAAATTGATTAATATACATAAATTATACAATTGAAAAAAAGCTTGGTGAAATTCAATAAAAAACCAAAGAAAATATTTCCAAACATTCTATTCAAAAATTAAAATTTTCTTCATTTTCCAACACTCACTATTCCTCATCTGCTGGTACCATCGGCTGTAGGATGAGACTATTTTGCACTGGGGGCACAGGTTGGTAATCAAAGTTTATATCCATATATCAATATCCAGATTTGACTTTTAATGTTAGGATTCCTTTCCTATGGAACAAGAATCTTACCTATAATAGCTGATTTCAGCCGAAGCATATCACTTGACTAGCCTGTTCTTATGAGATAACTGCAATTTATTGATATAAACTAATTTGGACAAGTAGATACAAAGATAGTTGGCTAACTCACCGTCTGAAATACCAAATACATAGGGTATAATGCCATCTGTCCAACGAAGAGTTTTATTTGAAGTGATCTTCCTCTTCGAACGCATTCGATTCTGAATTATCTGGGTATCTGCATATATTGTATTTATTTGTTGGAGAGTTAAGGTGATATCATTCTCGTATAGAAAACCGGTGATTTTTCGATTTGCACGTAATTCATTGTTCGATGAAAATACTTTCGGTTGTATGGATGTGCCATCCTAAAAATAATCGCTAATAATAATATAATAAATAATAATAATATTAGTAAAATTTAAAATTGAGTTGCAGCAAATTTTTTCAATTTAAATTTCTCGCATTAATTAAATCCAGAAAAAATCGTTCAAACCCAACAATAAAAAAAATGTCAAGCGAAAAATTTCTTAAAAATTTTGTTTAAAAAAACAATGAAAAACTCTGCATAACAGATGGAAATATAAGGAAGCGCCAATTAAAAGAAATAACCAAAGGTTAAAAATGATATAGGTGGTTTTGAGGGCTCATCTGTCCTCTTTCTTCTACCGCCAAGTAATTTGCCAAGAGATCTTATCCTAGTGCCCAGTGGAACCAATTAAATCAAGAATACTGCTCAATGAACACAGCAAATACTTTAAAAAAAGAAAAAAAGGAGATATAGAAAATATTAAGAAAGCAATTTTTTAACTCACTTTTTAACCATATCATCATCATCTTTTCATTGCTATTTATTATCGTTATTAATAACAATTATTATTATTATTTATTAATATTTACTATTATTGACAATGTAATGTTTTTTTTATTGTTATTACACTATACTAATTATTACCTTAATTTGATATTAGGTTGAATATTGAGAAAACTGGTGAATGATTCTGCAATATTTAAGATAAACTATTCTAATCATTTCAAGTTTTCTCACAAAATTCCCGATTATTCTTTACTGTTTTATGCTATATTATTTAATTTTTTATATTACATAAAACATCAACTGAATTTTATTTTTTTGACCTTAAGATTAATTAGAATTAGTATAATAAAACAGATATTATTCACCAGTTTTTTCAGGAATATTTTTTTCTATGAAAATATATTCGAGAAGTTTTTTTCAAGAATCCTCACCATTATTGGTTATAGTCGCTCCGCTGGCTTGTCGCACTGGACAAATATGCCAGGGAGTCCCTTGGCGATAGAAGTTCAGGTGAGTCGCCAGCACCACCCGGATTTTTAGACAGGTTTATTCCCGCTGGAAATAGAACTATATCTATAACTATTAGTATCGGCGCTCCCAATTGAACAACAACCCACTAAGCCATCCTAATCCCCAACCCACTAATCCCCATGTTCAAAAAGTATCCTAACTAAAATAAATTCGAGTCAAAATAGTCTGAAATCTAACAAATAAAGTATGAGATGGGTTCATCACTGTAAAATATTGTTGCATTACACGTAAAACATTATCGTATCCTTCGTTTGGCTTTTTATAAACAGTCGAATAGGCAGTTACTTCAGCAATAAACTGAAATAAAGATTTGGAACCATGAAAATCAAAATGATATCGATAATTTTTACTGATAAGTGCTATTTATATTTACGAAATAAACTAGCACTATTCCTTTACAATTTAAGACAATTTTGCTTAAGCAAAATAATCACCTGTTTTGTCAGCGGATTTTCAAGGAATGATAGTCTTCGAGTTTGCTTCACTGGTTGTTTATCAATGCACTTCGAATGAAATATTAGCATTTGTTTCAGTGTGCAAGGTGGAAATGAATGATGTGTAGGAATAAAGGATTCTGGTAATGGTTGAAATGGTAATTGTGATGGCAGTGCCGGTGATTGAAATGAATAAATATTATCTGACGCTATTGGCATTGAATGGAATAAAAATTGTGGTATAAACGTCGAATGAAAATTAGATGGAATATTCAGTAAAAAATTTTTTATTATATAATTTGGTGCGAAGAATAATTGTTGATGACATTGTTTGCATTCTTGATTTGACTGTATTCCGGAATTCGGATGCATATCAACCGATAAAGCAGCAAAAAACAGAATTATTAAACTCTCCTAAAAAATTTTAATATTTGGCGAAAAAGGTAGAGCTAAGTTAAGTTAAAGTAAAGGTTTTTAAAGATATTTCAGTGCTGCCAGTGTTTGTAATCTCGTACAATTCTCTAATTTTGTTATGAATGAACTATCTTATGAATTTTACTTATGAATTTTGTGATTCATGTTTACTTATTTTCGAGTGGGCTATCAGTACCAATGCCAGGATTTGGTTCTTTATGATGAAGCTTATTCGCGTCAAAGCAAGAGCTAGTGATTAAACCATGGTTTTTGAATTATTATTAGTCCAACGAATCAAAATACCTTCCTAGCCGCAAAATCGCCTTTTCTATTATTTTCCATATTAATATCATTCTTTAAGGTGAAATGGTCTTTCTATATAGAATTTTTTGTTCTATTTTCTTCAATTATTTTATTCGAAATTTTTCATTGAATGTCGCAAATTTTTTTTGCTAAAATTTGAGAAAAAAACATTTATTGAAAAATGTGCTCGCACAACATTGCTAGAAAAATATTGTATAAATATTTTATGAATTATTTGCTGAATATTTAGAAATTGACTAGAATCTCGTTCGCTAGGAGAATAAACCAGACAAATCATTAGTTTACCAGTTAAGAGCAGCCATACACCACCTATCACCAATTCAAAGAAATGGACCTCAACCTGTTATGTATTCAGTGATTTTTCCCGTGTTGATTTACAGAATTTATTAATAAAATTTGACATTTTTCATCGTCGAAAACCTATTATTTCGCATTTTTACATTGTACTTATATAATTATGTATAATATTTGTATTTTTTGAGTGTATTTTGTGTATTTTTTTTGGAGTAAAATTAAATAAAATTTTTATTCATAATTGGCTTTTCTACTATTGAAGATCGTTAAGAAGAAAAAAAAACTAACTTGTATTACCCAATTCGAAACCATTGGTTATATAAGAAAGCCTATTGAAGCAGAAATATCAGATAAGATTGACTAGATTTGACCTTAAAAGATACCAAAGGCAATATTCACTTTCAGTTTGAAGCGCCTAATTATAAAATAATAAAATTCTTTTTGTTCATAGCGATGAAGAAACGACCATAGCATTGTAAGAACGACCATAGCATTAAAAGACAGTGGAAGAATATTTTAAAAAATTTTCCTTCTATAGATTCCCACCAGTAAGATCTATGAAAAATTGATTTTAAGATTCCTGGATTCAAATAAAAATATTCCCATTGGAGAAAGGAAAAAATAAATATTTAATGCACATAAATAAATAAAATAAATATTTAATGATATAATAAGAATGAATAAATGAAGAAATGGTGTGATGCTTGGAATTTACCTATACTTCCCCTCAAGCCCCTCAGACAAAAATCGATCACTGTACCAACAATCAGTGGAGCGAAGCCAATCAAAAATGATTAGAGGCAACCATTAACTTTACTTCCATAGGAGAAAATAAGTGACGAAGATATTTAAATAAAAACCTAATATCTAAATTATGAGAAGCAAATAATTTTTCGCAATTTCAATAGGAAAGAAAAAGTAATAATTGAAAAATGAAAAATTACATTTTTATTTAACAACTGAAGATACGTCAATTTTTCAGAATTCAATCGGACAAATCAATCGGAATACTCAGCTCTAATACATTTCAGCACAAAAAACTGTTGGAATGCAAACTATGTGCAACATTATTGGTCCAAAAACTCCATTTGACTCCAGACAAAGACCATATAAAAATTATCAGTTATCAGGAGATAGGAGATATCACTCGCATTTCATTTTCTTGGTAGGTTTACTCTCTTCAGAAGATGGCAATCGAGCACATAAATTTGAAACTAATTCAAAGCAAATTCAAACAATCCGTGGACGAAATCGTATTTCAAGATATGTTGCTCGAGGAATACCTATCGCTCTATGTGATTTAAAAGGAACACCATTTTCAGTTCTTTAAAATTTATTTTTATGGTATTTATAGCATTCCATTAGTTTATATCTCCATTAAAACAAATGCACTTAAAAAAGATCATATTCCCAATCGTTATCCAAGAAGCGCATTGGTGTATCGATGTGGAGAGTAAGATGAGTCATTTTGAGTCATTTTTCAGTGGAATGAGAAAATAAGCAACAAACCATTTTATAGTGCCCAAGAGAAGATTTTAAGCTGGTTTTCGATAAAAATAAAGTAGTTTTATTCTTCTTAACCATATTTACTCTACAGTACGAAAACTCGTAAATTGCAGTAAGGGATTCGCGAAATGAGTTGGCGCGAGTGGTCAATACTTTAGGAAATCTTCGCTGGATATTTTATTCTGAACTGAAAGTGAACAATTTTTAAAAATTCGAATAAATCAGACACATTTCTAGAATATCTCATATAAGATGGTATCATCTTGATATTTGTATATATCTTAATGATGTTCTAACCAAAAGAGGGACTAACTTCGCTCAACCTTCATGCTAACGCATCGACCCGTATAATAATAGACCCTTAATTTATTGACCACTATTATCTTTATTTCCTCCAATCATTTAAAATTCGTCAGATGGGAAAGCATTTGTTGATTATCTCATTCATTTTCCGATTGGTGAAGAAAAGCATTTAAATCAGTAGCGTCCAGCACTTTCAAGATTCCTTCCTCCAATTTTACATTAATTAATTTTAACTTTGCTTTAATTTTATCGAAGAATTTCTACTTTTTTTTCCAGTGCAATACTTGGGACTTCATAAAGTCGCTTAACCTGTTATCGTCCGCTCAATATATTATAAATATCTTTACAGGCGCCCATGCCCATGGCTATAATGATCGGAATGTGGTAGTCATAATAAATAAATGCAAATTGCAGCATTGCGAAGAAGATCAAATATTTGAAGACGAAATAACTCAATTTGTTGACCAATTAGTCGATGAATGCCGAAACAAAATCACAATTTATTGGGAAAAATTAATTAATACCAAAGATAAAAATAAATCATTTTATCAATGAAATAACTTTATTTAAAAAATTGAACAAAAAATATTTCCTTATCGAAGAATCTTTTTTTCACTTAATGCCAAATATATTAAATAGAATGACTTGTGAAAGTCTTAATTATTTACTTATTTATTCATAGGCGATTGAGAATGGTTAAAGGAAAAAACCAGATTTTCATCAAATATCTTGGATCCGCTCTCCCACCAGATAGTCAAGTGAAATTAAGAAATCCTTTATGGGATCGAATTGTGCGGAAGCCTGCCTCTACAATGTTCGCAAACTTGCCATATGGTTAAAAAAAGAAAAGAGTGGGGTTTCTCATCACAGTCATCACGACATCATGGAAATTGAGGTATATTTTGCTACTTGTGAAGGAAAGCATCAGAAATGAGAGTAGTCAACCAAGACATAAACTGATGATGAAGAAAGATTTTGAATGTATGACTGTCTGGCGATATATGCTTAGACTGTGAGAGAGTGGTTTCTGTCATTTTCAAGTATGGCATCAGATCGAGAGTTTTGGAGATGCCTCATTCTCCTAATCACTGGAGTCAGTCTAATCAGTAATGATACCAGCTGTTAGAGGGAAGAGACTTTTCAGAATTAACTGAGTAATTTTGGCGAAAATTTTTATAAAATCACTGAATCTTGAAATCCAAAAAAAAAAATTCTTAACAAATTCAAGTTTTCTAATTTTGTATATAGTATAAGCCAAAATTGCTGATTGGAATTATTACAAGAAGGGCCACGAAAAAATTTGCATATGTTTTTTTCATTTGCTTCTCGTCACAATATTTGATAAAATTTTTTCAAGCCAGTTAAAAATGCCAAATTGCAATTATGCAATCGGCATAATTAAATGGAAACGAAAGAAATTTTTTTATTCAGTAGCTTTTATTTAGTAACTTTCGTTATTGAAATAAATTACATATTTTTGTTAAAATGTTGCTAAATTAACCAATAAAAATAATAATCCAGCTAAACCAATGAGCGCAACCGTTTAATTTGCAAAAGAATAAATGGTACTTGATCAGTCTGAAATTTCTTAAGCAAAAATAAAATATTTCTGAAGAGTCTGAAATATTTACGCGATTTTTTCTCCTTAAATGATGAAATCGCGCAATTATCTGATTAACCTTTTTAAAAAAAAGAGTAGAAGTAAGATGGCTATAAAGATAAACTTTATTGAACTTGAATAATTTAATGATTAAAAAAAGATGCAGTACAAAAAATTTTTTCTCCATCTAATTCTTTTACGCCAAAAAAAACTCTATAATAATTTAGAAGGACTTTTTAGAAATAGAAATTTTAATAACCTCCACAGAAAAAAGCTTCAAGTTCACTCAAACAATGCCAAAAAAGGCACAAAATAATACAGTAATAAAATATTGGCAACGCAAAAAAAAGTGCGAAAGATTACACAAAAAATCTTTTCGATCTTTTCGGTTTATGGCAAAAGCCTGTCGGATGCATAAACTTGTTTCCCTACCATCCTTTTTTCGTAAGTGCCAATCTTTCGTATTCTGCAGTTTTACACTGAATAATTATTTTTTATTACCCTTCATTTCATTCAAAAATTTTAGTTCATATTTTTTATCTAATTGATTGAGCATTTCTATCATTTCTATTTCTAAATAAAAATTATGAATCAGTGGATTTCCTGGTTTGCAAATAAACTTATCTTATGCTTATTTTTATTTCCTATTTCTTGTATCTATCCACAGTCGAACAATAACGCTTTTTAACTTTTAGAATTTTTCAAATCAATTCATAAAAGAGTGTAAAAAAAGCAATTAATTGCAAATCCGATTTTAAATTTTTTCGCACAGATTTGAGATTTTTTGCAAGCAATCTATATGAATATAAATTTTTGCCTCTTTTAAAATGGTTAAATGCCTATTTTTGCCCTTCCTATGGTTCCGAATTGATTCACCAGATTGTGTTCGACATTAATTTGTATTTTCATTCAACGACCTCTCTAGTGGCAGATCTCATCATAGCTGATGGAGCGAGCATAAAAGTCGTAAAAACTATTAAACGAGGATTATATTATTGCTGCACTCGTCTGAAAATAAAAAAATTTGTTCCCATTAGTGATAACCTTTCTTTTCGGCTATTTAGGTTCACAAAAATTTTCTGATACTAAGTCTCAAACCTTTGATTCCAAAATAAAATAAGTTAATAACAAAATAAGTTAATAAGTTCTCCAAAAAAGTTGATATACTATGCAAAATTTCTTAGCTTATGGTAACTGAAGGCAAATATTTTTGGAAAGTAACCGCTTATCAGATGAGAAATTGATTGACTATATACATTCATTTTAATTAATCTAATGATATGAACTCTTTTCGAAAAATCCAACTGGAATTGAAATTTCAGTTATTCATATATATTTAAAATTACTTAAAGCAAATTTGATATCAAATTAATAATTATTAGTTAAAGCAAATTAGTTAAAGCAAATTTGATATAAAATTAATAATATTTATATCAAATTTGATATTAAAGATTTCTTAAAATTTATTCCGATGGTAAATTTTAATTTCCAATCAGAAAGTATTTTTTGAATTATTTAATGATGAAAAAAAAGTATTGCAAGGCCGAAAGAAAAAATTGATTATTCTTCAACAATCAACACCTTTGGTTCGATGGTTCATAGGCCCTTTTGCTAGAAAGTCATTTGGTAATAGAAGTAGAGCTGAGTCCTCCGCAATCCCCTGGATTTCACTTCGAACTGTAAACTTAGTCCTGCATAAGCTCCCGTCATGGGACAGGGAGAATTGAAATAATGGTTTCAACTGATGCAATATGCCATTTTGTACTTGAATGGATAAATCATACTTTAAAAATGATGCTTATATAAGAAAAAATTAAGAAATGGTATGCATTTTTGATTTAGCACAATTAAAATATTTCGAATTATAGCTGATAATGAGCTGATATATAAGAAAATTCATAATAAATAACTACAAAAATCATAAAATTATTTTGTCCCCTTGGATCCCCTTTTGGCTTGCCTTTTTTTAAAGTCTGTGCTCAATGCATATTAGGCTTAATCATTATCTGCTTTAGCAATTTATTTCTACAGTAAGATCAGGTGAATTTTTTGTTTTTGGCAGCCATTTTGTTAAAGTGCAATGAAATTCATATATTTCCTGCGTAAAAGAATTTTCTCCAAACAAAGATAATAGTTGATAAAAGATAATATCATATAATAATATGATCATAATAATATGATCAAATTTAAAGCTTTATGAACTTCATTTATCATATTTTTCATTTGTTATTTATTTTATTTTATTACATAATTTGTTCAGTGCGAAATTCGCCATGAGTTTACAATAAAAAAAATATAGACATGCCGTGCTGAGGCGAAGAAATTGCAAGCAATAGAAAGCCATATGAATATGCAGTAAAATAAAAAATTTTTTGTGATAAAATGAAAACAATATAAAACTAATGGTACATTTGACTATATTTTTGTGAAACTTGTTGTACATCAATATCTGGTTCGATAGAAATAATTTTAATCTTCAATAAGTCGCTAGGCTTACAACGGACTGCATTACCAGTTTTGTGGCACCACAGATTGGACATGCCTGCTGTAAGCTCCCAATTCCTAATCTGCCATATATAGCTGCTATGATGGATAAAATGCTTTAAAAAATTTTTTGATTCATTTTCCTAATCTTTGATTTTTTCGCAATGATTGTAATATTGCTGATCACTCTGTCAATTTAAGACTGAAACACATCGGAATCTGCGTAATATATAAATGAATTTTCAGAGCCATTAAGATTTTTTAATAAACGGCTTATTTTTAGATAAGAGATCAGAAGAGAGATGAGAGACAAGGTGCGAACTTTGATAATTTAATCAGTAACGACTTTACAAAAGATCTCTGAAATGGCAAGGAAAAATTTTGATAAAATCAAATTGATGAGTGTATAAAGCAAGATTAATTAGATTAAAGTCACT